GCGAGTCCCACGAGAGCACTTTACTGCCGGGGGGGGGGGGGTGTACGGTATACACGCGAGCAATGCACGCACATGCGAATGTTATTATATATACCTGCCAGGCATGTGCGTACATGGTGCACGGGGGATGGTACGCGGGGCCTCGAATGCGGACCGAAAAAACATGGCCAAGACTACGCCGCTGCGGCAAAAAGGCGGGATACAGAAGAAAAGATCGGGACGCGCCGTCGTTGCGAAAATACGAGAGTATATTTATACGTTGTGGTGTAAGAGCTGGTTTTTCGTGGCGAAAGATGCATCGGATGATAATTCGGCAAAGTTGAACAATGTTTGCTTTGCAGCGGGTTTTGGTTTTTTTTTTTTTTTTTTTTCCCCCCCCCCGAAAAGGTACAAACGCCCAACTGTTGCGAAATGTACAATATATATTAATAAAACAGTATTAAATTTTATAAGCCACTACACTTGCGTATCGACTGTCCCTTTTGTCGTTATTTCCCAATGCTTTAACATTAAACGCGGTATACGCACGTCCCACGACATAACGCACTCACGCGATCGTAAGTGAAACTGGCGGACTGTGACGGGCCTCACCGCATCTTATTTTTCCATTTATTTATTTTTTTTCTTCAATCAGAAATCAACGAAACCCTTGGGCCGCAACCTTGTATATACTCACGCGAAGGGGGCATTTATATATGTGCATATATTTCTCGCTACGACAAACTAACGTTATATATTTTTTAATACTTGATCAGCCGTTACGTTCTTATTGTTCCTCTATACGTTACAATGTAATATTATCTTGTTATATGATATAATATACGTAATACACCAATCAATACGTCGAATATCGCTTGGACACCGTTCAAACACGTTATTTGGAACAATTTATAATTTTACTTTGCCGCTTGCCAGGTAAGCACACACGTACGTAGAGTACATTAATGGGTGCAGGCAGTATTCTCGATATACGCATGTTGATATCGTTGTATTTTTTGTACGAATATATGTTACATCATTAATATACATGATACACAAAGCCTTGCGATGGTAAAAAAAGCACATTACAATATCGTCCATCGATTTGTTGATTTAGGTTTTGGATCAAGGGTTTCGCTTTTTTTTTTTTTTTTCAATATCACCTTTCTCTATTTCCCCATGTCGTTGATTTTACGGAGTCGTCACGGTCTTCGTTTTATTCAATCATCGATCGATTTTCCATGAATAGCGGATTTCACGCGACAACAACGCGACCTTCTCTCACATATCTTTATCATCGCCACACCACGTACAACGTGCGCACACACGTCTATATTAATTATAATAAAAACATATGCAGACGTTGTTGATGTATAACCGGTGTTTTATAATCGAAAAGTAATAAATGATAAAAGAGGCACATAGTGATATAAGAGGAGAAATGAATATAATATACAGAGTATAAGAGTATACACAGGAAATTTTTTTAACAATGAAAGACTCGTGTGTAATAGAATAATATAATTTTTAATACAAACATCTAAACATAAAATAAATAAGAAATGTGACTNCTTTTTTTTCAATTTTGGCTATTCATTTTATTTATTTTTTTTTTTTGTCGTATATACTCTGCGGACACATTCTCCCCGTAACACACAGTGTTCATTCTTGGGTAATCTTTCGCACATTAATCAAATAACGTTTTTTTTGTCTCTTTTTTCTTAAATTTTTTTTTTTCATTTATTATTTAATTTAATTAAAATCTTCCTTAGATGGTAGTGATGTTTAATTTTTAAGCGCTAAATATTTATATACTATCCAACGACGTTCCGTGCATTCAGCTTGGGTTATCTTCGTGTCCATAAATCCGCTGACTCAGATCCAATCTCCTCTTGATGTAATCCATCCACGCAATAGATAAATACCCATTTCCGTTGCCTTCCTCGTTTAAGCATCCTGGGATTAGAACTCCAACAAAGACTTAACTATTTATTGAGTATATGCACAGCTACTTGCATGAGACTCAAACCGAATAACATTATACTTGAATTCTTTTTTTTTTTCTTTTTTTTTTTTTTTTCTTCTTTATTGTTATTTTTTTCCTTTTACTCGTCGCTTTCTTACTTAATTAATTAATTAATAATGAATACTGCAATTACGATTTTTCTCTTCTATTTTATTTACTTACTTTTTTTTTTTCTTGTTTCGCAACTTTTTAACCTTTGTCAACTAGAGCGTGCCAATCTAGCATACCGTAATATTTGAAAATGCCTTTCTTCGTTTATTAAATTTATTTTTTCGTCTTCCTCCATTTCAAATGGTAAGTTTGCCTGTATGATATTGTTGATGTTATTTGACGTCTGTTAGAGCGCGTGGGCCTCGATTACACGCCATGCATCTGTTGATTGGCTGTAAATGTTGTTGTTGTTATTTTTTTTTTATATATATATTTTTTTATCGTAGATGAAAATACGTCTATTAAAGTTGGTGCGAATGACGCCTATCTATGTTATTACATCTGTATTTTTCATGATTTGAATTTCTTAATTCTATAATATTGAAAATGACGCTCTTTTTACTTCATCTACTTGATATATTTCCGAGTCCTAGGACATGCTGCTCGCTCTACACGTATAGCAGAAACCAGTGATATAATTTTCTTTTCTTTTTCAATTATTTTCAACTGATTATCTTGAATTTGAAATCAATTTTCGTAGTTATTCAATAATCATCAATTTCGCTAAATTATTATTTAGGCAGGCTACTCTGTACTTATTCTGATTTTTTTTCCTCAGATGTTCCGCAAATCCCTTATGATTTCAAAACTTCTTCTTGCGATTAATTTTCTTGTTCATCTTCTAGAGGCGTATGCTTCATGTGTTCTGTATTTATTTATATGCTCGGCAGCTACTGTCCCTTAGGCTACACGCGCTATTACCGGTGCATCCGAGAGGAATAGAAATTATACATGTATACGTGTGTCAAGCAAGAGTTTTATTATTACTTTGATGTGTATTTCAGTGGATGATGCTCGCACACTTGCCTCGGCTTCTTGTGAGATCGAGTCCGATGTTCCAATACCACTACTATTAAAATTAATTTTCATTAGAATACTCATTTACTTCAAATAATAATAATTAATAATAATAATAATCATCATCATCATCATAGTATTTCTGCTCTTATATAATAACTTCTCTTCTCGTATTGTTAATATTAAATTTAGCTTGTGTAATTTTCATCTAGTTTCGCTACTCCCATCGATATCCAGTGTTCAAGTTTCTTTTTTTAATTATTTTTATCCTCTTAATTAATTTTCAGCTTACATTGTTCGGCCTACGTTTGCTTACTTCGTTAATCTGCGTAAAATTGCATATGTATATAATATTTTTTTCTTCTACGCTGCCACACGCTGTATCGACGCTTTTGTCTCTATTTTTGTTTAGGCCATTCTACGTAAATAATTTCGCTTCGCTCGCTCATTATCTGCCACGCGAACCGTGTTACTCGTCACATTCGTACTCTTTTTTTTTTTTTTTTTTAATTTTTATTTATTTATTTTTGGATCATCTATTCAATTCGCTCGATCATCAACTCACTCGCAATCTCGCGCTCAGTTATGCTAATTTGCGGTTGGCTTCATCGTTCCAACAGCTCCTTTATATTTTTTTTTTGCTTTGTCAAAGCAGCTTTGTCTTCACGGGAGATTCTCTTCGATGGCTTCTGCTGATGTACAGATCGGCTCTCGTACCCCTTCATCATCTTCTTCTGCTTCTTCTTCTTCTCGTTGAACTGGAGAAATCCTCAAGAGGTACAGGGTGAGTATTATTTGGAGCTCCGTATGAAGAGCATCGAAACGACGAGCATCGCATACCCCACACATTAATGATTAATTTAATGATTATTTCATGTGTTTTTTTTTCTTTTTTCTAAACTTTTTTTTTGTGATTTTTTTTTATTATTTTTTTTTTATATTCTGTTTACTCATAACTCAGCGCTGCATGTGGTGTGTACGTGTGTGGGTTCGAGTGTGATTTTATATAACGATCTCGACCGGCGGCGCTGATCGTCGAAGCGGACCTGAAGCGTGAACTCCGGCGATCGGCTCGTCGTCGTTGTCGACTTTGTTTTCTTTATCCACATCGCGAGTGATTTTTTATTTCCTTGTGTGATTTGCTGAATTTATCGATGAAGACATAGAACCTAAAGCCAAGCGAGCCAAGCTAGTATCTTTAGACGTTCTTTTCTTTTCAGTATATGACTGACATCGACCCACGTCGAATTGAGGCTCTCCTAAAGGGTCGATTTATTGGTTTTTTTTTTTTTGTATTTTTGTTTATTTTATTTGTTTTCATATAATAATTAATCCTGGTAAGCACGCTCCGTGTAAAATGTGTGATTTCCTATTACCTTTTTATATTTATTATTAATTGTTAGGACAATCGTTCAAGCTAAGTGTGTCGATTTTCGAAAAATGGCACGCGTCGCGGGGACCGTTTTGTACCGTCTAATGTACAGCGATGGAATAACGTGTGCGTTGTCGGGCGCACACTCTCGGCTACTCGTCTCACGATGCGAACACTTGGTCGGGTCTCCGGGATTGGTAGCCTTGTTTAAAAAAAAAAAAAAAGGTACGGCCGGTTATCGGGTGGCTGCACTTTGTTGGTTCGATTTTCAAGATTTTGGTAATAAGAGCGTCACTTTTGCTTGGTTGGTTGATTGATTGAGATGCGGAGGGTGGGGGGGTTCGAATTGATGCCGCGGAGTCGCGAGAACAGGGCGTTCGGCGTTCCGGGGTTGATGGGTGTGATGTAATTTTTTTTTTTTTGGACTTATTTTTTTCGTCTAATTTATTTATTATTAGTATTATTATTATTTTTATTATTATCATTCGTTACTATATAACAAGAGCTGGTATGGCGTTAAAAACTAGAAATCGTAAGGAAAACTAAGATAATCAATTGAGCTGGTTAAGATTTATTACTGCTTTTTTCATCTACTTGCAAATAATGCGTGTGGAATTTAATTTTACTNATTTATATTACGAATAGTATTAATATTATCATTATTATCGATATTACAATAAATCTTCCAGTAGTTATGTGGACGATGTATGTATAATATACTGACATATCTGTTTGCTCACGGTGGTGCGTTGATGATGGTACGTGGTGACGGTGATAGCGATTTTTGGTGGATTTATTAGCGATAACAGTGACGACATAATATATATTTATATAATATATACATACACATAACATGACACATTTATATGTACGTATACGTGATTTTGCCCTGAAAATGTGTGATTTTCCTTTTCCTTTTTTTGTTTTGTCCTGCTTGTTTCTGCGTAGGTATGCGTCTGTCGGCTCTCTCTCTCTCTCTCTCTCTCTCTCTCTATCGATTGTTTATAACTATCTCTCATCCGATACATATCTGTTCTATCCCTGCTATTCCTTTCGTAACATACATCAAAATCGTTCTTCTCGTGGGTTGTTGTTTGTTATTAGCGCACGCGCTTCTGTTATTCGGTAGGCGGTGTCGCGCGCTTTAATAGTAGGTCTCCTGCTCGAGCCAGCCGCCAGGATTCCGGCGCAGGTAGAACCGTCTCGTCTCGTCGTAGATGAAGATGGCGAGCATGAAGGGAATGGCCGGCAACCACCAGACGAACCTGCAACCAAAACAAGCCGTGTTGAGCGCGTGCACTCGTGTCACGATTGCATTCTGTGGCAGTAGTGTATGCCAATATACTCACTTGAGTGGGTACATTCTGAGGCCCTTGTCCATGCCGGGCGTGTAGCTGAGGAAGGCGGCGAGCGCGGTCTCGAAGACAAGGCCAAAGTTGAGGGCCCAGTTTCTCATGCCCTGGTGAATGATGGAGTTACGTCGGGTCTTGCAGACGATCAAGTCGGCCCACTGTACGATGACGATCGACACGAAGAAGGCCGTGTGGCAGGTGAACTCTAGGGTCTTGCGATCCCTGTAGGTCTGAAAAAAGGATGGACCGTTGAATTGATTTTTTTTTTTTTTTGTTTTTTTTTCCCCCTTCGTTACGAGATGTCAATAGTTTAGAAAAATACGGCCACGGGGTCGCCTGTTGGATAAAGGACTTACCCATTCCTGGCCGTAGCTGTCCGTCAAGTCATTGATAGCCTTGGAGTCCCATTGTTTTCGGATGCCAAACAGGTGTCTCGGCAGGAAGCCATTCTCAGCCATGATGACAAAGTAGACGAAGAAACCGGCAGCCGCTTGGATCATACCGATCTGGCCGTAAGCCATCGAGATGAGCCTGCGGAGTGGATACGAGTACTGCATTAGACGCGCATGTTTCGATTGATGGGAACTTTTTTTTTTTTTTTTTTTTTTTTTTTTTTTTATGCGCGTCAATCGAATCACGAAGCATAAGCTAACTTGACTGTTTTTAATTTTTTAAAATAAAGATGATTTTATGTAGTACAGAGCTCGAACGGTCATGTTAGGAGTATACTTTGGGATGTCGAGAAAGCAATAAGTAGTGCTACTTGTCGATGCCTAAGTTGATTAAAGACGCTTACAGCTTGTGTATTAAAATGTTATCGGTACATGTTTGAGTGGTTTGTGAGAGAAGGACAAAATGAAACAAATAATTGTACAAAGATAGGCCAAAGGGTTCTTTTTTTCCCCCGATTGCGAGTCGTTCCATAACAGGTGTACACATTACTTACCAAACAAGTTGGCGTTAGCACACTCTTGCAGCGTTTAACATCTAATTACACAAATATCCAAACTTTGATGAAAAAAAAAAAAAAAAAAACATGCTCGTGCATTTCCGTGCAGTTTTACGCTTTCTCACGATTGCCGATGAAAATGAAGGTCATACTTTGGTCAAATTGATCAACAATACGTGAGAAATCGCTTTGCGAAAGTAATCGGACAACATCGGTATTGATTTTTTTTAAATTTAGATAAGAAAGTATAGTTATCAAAGTACAATAGCAAAGAGAGAGAGAGAGAGAGAGAGAGAGAGAGAGGAACGGACAAAAAAGATTTGCCGGTGAAAGAATACGCAAAGAAAGATGGAAAGAGAGACTCGATTTTCCATTTGCCCCTTTTCGATTTAACGATGCGAAGCGTAAAAAGCGTGCAAAATAACGTTTTATAATCGCGATCGTTCTTTTAGAGTTTCTCGAATAAATTACAGACGCAACAGTACCAGTTGTAGGAAAAAAAAAAAAATAAAAAAAAAATAAATTTCTCACGGATCGACGTAAACGCGAAAGCAAGCTAATGGTCCCGAAAAAAGGCATCGCAAAATTAAAACAACCGGTCGGTCGGCTCGACCTTCTGGTTTTCCGGCAGCCCCAGTGTACCCATCGATTTTCCGTCCTCGGGCTCGACCTTGACCGTGCCTTCCCGAGCGCCAAACGAATCCGCCCCGGCGACTATGCAAGCACCCCCCCCCCTCCTCCCGAAACTCCTCGTCGTCCTCTTCCTTTTACAATACAGTTTGCTCCCTCCTCTCCTTTATCGCGTACGTAACCATACACGCGCAAGTGCATACACGTGTCCCCGTATGCAGTATTGCGGGTGTACTGGTACGTACATCGTATATACATGCACTTTTGGTCGCGAGGCACGTATACGAAACGCATATACTGTACTTATACGTAAGCAGGATATTTTCCTTACGTAATGCTGTTCTTGTGTTGTCATTCTTACTTTCTTCCGTTCCCGGGCATCGCGATAAAAATCTTGTGCGTTTTCGAGCTCGCTTAGCGAAAAGCTAGGAAGATGCTTGGGGCACGCATGCGATTCTGTACAGCTGTAAGTATATATATGTGGGAAGCAAGAGATACTTTAAGGCGATTTACGTCAATGTAAGCGAAAGCCAAAGGCGTTTTTTTTTTTTTTTTTTTTTTTTTTTTTTCATGCGAGTATATACTTAATAAGCGAAAGCCAAGAGTTTTTTGTTCGTTGTTTGTCGGAATGAAATTTCGTTGGGAGATGATTTCGTGACAAATTCAATGTACGACTTTCATCCCGACATAACACGTGTATGTACATAAAAGTAGGTCGTTTGTTGGAAAGCACATAAATTTTACGCATTTTTTTGTTTTTGTTTATTGCATTTTGATGATCCCCGTTGAAATCTTGAGGTCGTCGGTGTCTCCTGTGGTCATTTTGTCACTCTACTCGATTGGCTCATACTTTTTTTCAAGCGTAAATTTTCGTTCGTCGCCATTGCAGGGATCTCTAATTGTCTTTGATTATATAACAATGTACAATATAATAAATTTTTTTTTTTTTTTTTTTTTTTTTCTTATTCAATCGTGCATCATCGTCATCGTGTGTCGCGAACACATAGTTGCCAAAAAAATAAACAGTATTAACACTTAGAAAGTTAAAAAAAGATGGTTGTGTGGGGAAAGTACAAAAAAAAAAAATTAAAAAAAAAATACAGGTGACGCATGAGAGAGTTGTATTTTCAACCCGAAATTCAGTATCCGTACAACTCTCTGATGAGGCGATATCGCAAACGTGTGTATACATACAAAACATACACACGCGATGTTGACTAAATAATATTATAGATGCGCCCGTTGCACATGAGTAATATAACGATGACAATGTAAAGTATACAGTTGGTGATTAAACATTTAATTGTTTCTATAGGTGTCTAAAGTAAAACTAAAGCATTCAGCATTCACTTCGTTAATTTCCTCTAGTAGGCGACGCTACTCTCGTACACATGAGCAATTTGTACGTAATATTAACACACTGATGATACATGTATGAATTTTCGAATTGTAAAATATAATAAAATATGCTACATCTATATGTATATATAATTAAATACTGTTACGGTGCTACATTAATTAGTCCTAGAGACGCTGGACGGTGCGAGACGGACGTGAACTAGAGGTGAGGGAGTGCAAGTGGACAAGACTGTATGTATATCTGTGTCACAGTCAAGCTGATGAGAGTGGGTGAGAGACAAGTAAGTAGGCTAATGGGGAGCATGAATGTGTGCTTTGCACTGGTGCAACACTTTTTTTTTTACATTGGCTTTCTGTGATTGCATCATTGTCGTGACGAGCGATTTTACTGTATGAATTGTCTCGAATAGAAATAGGAAAACCTTTTTAAGAATTTGAAAATATTTTTTGCAATTGAAAACTTTTTTTTGTGTCTTCGTCGTATTCAAGAAAACTATAGTAAAAAAAGTGTATTTTTGAAAAATTTTGTTGGATTATTTCTATTCAGACTCATGATGGTATAAGTAGAGTGAAGTATAATGTGATATTATTGCGCGATGTGATAACTATCTGAAATAAATATTTGCCATATAAGCAACAAATTACGTAAATCTCTGTTTGGTGTAAGGCTGTATAATTTTTTTTTTCTTTTTGCTAACATGCAAATTAACAATTACATTACGACGAAAAGTGATTTCATCCGGTCACTTGATTGTAATAAATATGGACTAGACAAAAATTTGATTATTTTCTCAACGACACTACATAGTTTTTTTAATGATTAAACTAATTCTAACAGTATGCTTGACAAGAACTAACGTGGAATTGAAAATAATAACATGAAACTAGAACTAATTGTAAAAATAGTTTCTAAACATTTTAAGAACAACGTTTTCAATTTTTTGAAACAAAGTGCAGTGCAACGTAAAAAAAATATAAAAATAAATTCTTGTCGTTCACCTAGTGACTTAGGATAGTGCAATGTTATTTACTAGATGCGCATGAGAGGTATAGCTGTAGGTGTCGGTTGCGGTGTAGGTTAGGTTTTTTAATTAACTTTTAAAGTGCAAGGTGATAAACTATTACATGACGGTTTTTAATAGGTATTAATACTATTTTTTTCTTTTGTGTTATTTTTGTTGTTGGGGAACACCCACCTTCTGTTCACAAGATTGTCTCTGTAAGGATCGCGGGGCTGGCGTTTCATTATGTCCGATTCCGGTGCTTCATAGGCCAGCGAAATGGCCGGCACCTGCGTTATCCCGTGGTTAAAAAAATTAGAATTTTTCGCGTAAACCATCATCCCTAATTTTTATTTATTTTTTTTTATTTTCGTATTTTTTTATTACGTCATCTACGTCGCCATAATTGTGTAACTAATTCTATAATTTTATCCTAAGATTCCTGTTGTTACTTATTATTAAGTAGATTAAAAAAAACTGACAAATCCTTGCTGTTACTTTGTCAGTCGTTGACGTTGAGATGAGACACTAATAGAAGAAGAATCGCGAAGAAAAATCTTGTAAGATATTCAATGTTATAAATATGTAGTATAAAAAGGGTATATATAATAAATAGTGGCAAGTTGTAATTGAGTAGTTAAAAAAGATGGTCTGGCTCTAAATGTGCTATAAAAGAAAAACTAAAGTAAGATGAAAGATAAGGATTAATAAGAATTTTGCAAGAAAAAAAAAAGCGATTTCTTGACTGCTCTGTGGTCCAAAATCTCAGAATTTAAAAAAAGGAATCTAGAGTTTAATGCTC